CACTACCTATTTTTCCCACAATACCATTAACCAGTCTGTAGTAAGTGCTTGGCTAAGCAACGATCCTACCAAAGACCGCATGGAAATCACCAACTTAATTCCAAATCAGACTTTGTCTGTGAATAGTTTAGATATTTTAGGACCATGCCTAGTATATGGTACTGATGCAGAGGCTATTTACGTGAACAGACAACTTTTTGCCTGAAATGACTCCAGTATCCCTTTGAAGCGCTGGTGACCTTGAACTACTGGGAGATGTCAGGTTCATTCTTAATGATACTCATTAGTCTGTTATCAGCATGTGGGGGAGAGGCCTACAGCTTGGTCCTGGTACTGCAGAAGAAATGTAAGGTACCTCAGATTCTGACAGCTGTCACTCGCTATTGATGCTGCAGGATGGGTAACTGAGCAAGCTTGCTCTCATTTCTTCCCCAATGCCTGTTTGGTTTTGGCAAGCAGGAAGGTAGTCGCTAGGGCAAGATGTTTGCTCTAAACTGATGTCCATAATACACACGTGCATACAAAGTGAAGAAAAGGTAAACACCCACCCCCCCCCCCACCCCACCCCCACCCCACCCCCCCCCCCCCCAAAGATATTTTTCAAGTAATAATTCTAAGGCCAGACTATGGGGTTCTTTGAAATTCTTTTTATGTCACCTGAGAGATGGGTTTTTTTAATCTGAGTTTTTTATATATTTAGGGGACGTAACTTTTTCTGTTACTTCATGAGAATTGGAAAGGAAAACTGTTAAAGCTGTGAAATGTGAAAGGTTCTATAAGAATCTTAGCATTTTAATAACATTATTTTGGATTATTTACAGCTTTGTCATGGATGCTGCATGTTAAAAATCAATCTTGATAATGTGCCGGTAACTCCCTCAACAGAAAAGTGTTTTTTATAGCCAAGAGGTCATAATCGACAGATGTTTTTGGCTGTGTTTTCAGGTGTGAGAATAAGACTTTCTAAACTTGAGACATAGTCTTTGTCACAATCAAAATTTCACATCTGGTCTGTTGCAATCTTTGAAAAGTTAAATTTTATGGTTAGTGTTGTACCTACCTTTTGTTGCAGAGGACCCTTTATCTTTTTAATAAAAAGTTTTGCACAAGAATACTGGTCTGACTAAATTAGTTCAAATAGATGTACTTGTAGTCATCTTTACAGGAAGGTAAATAACTAAGTTATTTGGACTGATCCTGGGGATAGAATCTGAAGGATGGAGGGAAAGCTCAGGGTTTGGGCAGCAGCAGATTAAGTTATAAGGTTTTACAAGGCATTTTCCATCAAAACCGCACTAGAGCGTACTTTACTTCCACGTCGGCGAGAACAGCATTCTTGATCTCTTGTGATGAGAATACCTTACCTGATCTGAATTTCTGGTGGGCCTGGCTGGAGGACGTGGATGGTGCGCTGGGGACAGGGCTGTCCTTTCTTCATAAAGGAGCGTATGGAGTTGGCAAGGGGCTCGTTAGAGCGTCTTAAATTTTGCTTCCCAATTTGTTTGAAATGCAACACTCTGCCTGGAAAGAAAACTGGTCGAGATGCATCTCTGAGTGATAACTGGTGGGTTTTCCTGCCTGGCGACTTACACGTTGGTCCGTAATGACTCCCTCGTTCAGGCATTAATTGGATCACAGAGGCTCGGCAGAACTTTTTTCCCCCATTAGAAAATCGGTATTTATCCATCCAGCTCGGTGCCGCCACTGCAGAAAAAAGCGGTGCCTGAAATCTGGCGGGGGGGGGGGGGGGTGGGTTTTTTGTGCCCCCCCCGCCTC